TACTAAATGTTTTTATGTATTATTCTATGGTTAGAATAAAGGTTGTTGTTGTTGATAAGCGTTAGCCTTTCAGCATAAATCTCTCTGATCTACTACCATGGCTAGAACCAATATTACGACTGAATGAGTATTTTCGATGCTTGCAATCTCTTTGCAAGCGTCCACGTGCACGGAATCGTTTTTTAGCATCTCACTTGTCTCCTATAATCATGTCAACGTTTTCGATAAAGATAACAGTTCGTTCAACATGATTTCCATTATCAACAAATTCAGGCTTCCTCACATATACACATGTCCCAAAATCTTGTTAAAAATCGTGGCTGTTTTTTTTTTTTTTTTTTTTAATGATTCTCAAGTAAGTGAAATATTCTAGATAGCTTTGTCTAGCCTTTTCTGGTTAATTAGTTTTTTGAGGGGGCCGCACACGTATACATACATGGCTTCGTCATTAACGTATTGGTAATATGAAGATCGTGACAGCGGATCATTGATTCGTGCCTTCAGTAAGCTTGTGAAAGGCCTGGTATGGCGTACCATATCTTTTAAACAACTATGGACTATGAAGCTTTAGGTTTAGCCTAGTGTTTWCGTTAAATACTCTTATTACAGACATGTAAAGGTAGCTCGTGACTTAGATATATGTATTTGATGTGAGTAGGCTGGTTTATCTCTCGATTCCCTTTGCCTTGCCGTTTTCTATAACATGGACTTTTATCGTCTTAAGATTAAGATCAAGATAAATCCTTTATTATTGAGACACGTATATTTGGTTAATTGTATGTCCCTGGCCATATATTGTGGAAAATTCACGAACTCTGAATCTCCGCGCACTATACCATGCTTTTAAAACTCAATGAATCAGATAAACTACATCACTGACCTATACAAGTGTTTTAATCGTTCCTCATTTGATAATGCCATGCTAACCGTACGTGTTGCATCTCAATGAACATGAGCAAGTTTTTATCTTTGCTCAGTACTTATCACRTTGTTTTGATAGAGAATATAATCGACTAATCACACGTATCCGGATATTTTTTAAAGCGGTTTTTTTATTTTGTTTTTAAACAAAACTCGTCCACACGTAGTGTTTTGGAATCGTTTTCGCCCGTCCACACTTTTTTCATAAAGTTTTTCCATAAGTTGTCTTTTTCCATAAGTTGCTTTCTATAGGCCAAATCGCAAAATATTTCTATTTTATCATGATAACAATATCATACATAAAAACGGASCTTATTTAGCTCTGACTTATACTAATTCCTGTGCATGACAACGACTAGATTTTTACTTTGCGTGTTCTTCGCTCCACCTATGTTGATAACGGAGGGGAYAATTGATTGTTCAGTCATTATGATACACTTTTGTTTTCCAAGTTCACTCAGTTGAAAGAAAACGGGGTAAATACTGGGTGCGCCATACTACTATATCATGTATACTACTCATAGCTAGTGTGTGGTATATTGAATGTTATATACAATGGTTCGTTTTGAGTGGTATAGACATGCACAACATATATCCGTAAAAAGTTAACTAACAAAATTGTACAAATTAGTGCAAAGTTTCGTAGATCTGCCGTCTAGTGAGGTCTACTGAACTTACTAATACCCTGGCCGTCCTATTGTTTCTGCTTGTAGTTGTCCTACCGAACTCATCTCTAGCTATCTAGATTCTCTCATGCTGCCTATTGTTCAGTCTTTACCTACTTATATTAAGGATACTAATCA